GTTGCATGATGCAACGTTTGAACAATTTTAGTATTTGCCAAAACTTAGATTATGAAACATGACGTCGTTACTGCATTTTTTTCAGATCTAACGTGAACTCGAGTTTTTCTTATTTTTAAGTTCTAGCTTTTTATTAGCAATTAGTAGTGTAACTCAAAACAATTAGCATGGATTATGGATGAGAAAAAGATCGTGGAGGGTGAAAAATAAATACAATACATAGAATTTGGATATGAATGGTGATAGCCTCACTAGCGGCAGATATAAAAAAAAATTAAAATAAATGGTGGCAAAAAAATTTGTGCCACCGGCCAGCATCAGCTAGGTCGGGCTCAACCAACGAGGAAGCCCAACCAGGCCACGCCAGCCCCATTGGCATAGGTGACGAGCAAGAGCAGGTTTGTATAGTTTAGGAGTTCAATCCCTGGTACTTCTCATGTTCTTTTATGCTGTGTTCTTAGATGCTCAGCGAGCGAGGTGGGGACTAAACCGGATGCAGATGGATGACTGCCGTATTCACGTGGCTTAGTTGGGCCACGACCTCGTGATGGACAGGCCCAGCCGCCGCCTGCTCCCCCTCCTAGCTTCATCGTGTGCGCGCGCAGGCCGATAGGCCTAGCAACCGCGGCCGGGCGCACGCGTCAGCGACCCGGTCCCTTCTTCCCCACTGCGCCGCATCGACCGGGCAAATCCACTGCCGCCCGATTTCCTCGCACGCGCCCCCCGTGGTTCCCCGCGCCCGTGCATATATAGATTAGGCCCAGAGCACCGCGCCACCCCCTTTGAACCCTACAGGAGCCACCCCGAGCCCTAGCCCTAGCCCGCGCACCACCATAGCCGCCGCCCAGAGCTGTACCCGCCGCCGCCGCTGATCTGCGCCTTCACCGCGTCACCGGCGTCTAGAAGCCTCCACGACCTTCACAGCGAGGTGAGCAATCCGTCGGTGCCGTTCGTGTATCTCTTATGTAGGTATTTTTTGGTTTGGTTGATGGAAATCGACAAGGTTTTCAGTTGCAAATGCAGTTGTTGTGAGCCTAGTATATCTCTAATTTGAAACATGTGAGTTGACATGTTCTTCACTTTTGCTTTCAATTTAAGTATTCAGAATTCCACACTGCAGAGGCAGGAGCAAACCTAAACTCATTTCAGATAAACACATACCATACTACTCTAATCCATAGTGTACTGCGAAAACAACTCAAACAATACATGTCTTTTCTACTGCTTCAGAGAAAAGAACATTGTATAATATCATCTAAATTTTGTCAAAAAAAAAGTAATAGGCTATGTTGCTGTACCATACAGATAAAGTAACACCCTGCTCTGCTATGTTGCTTCTTCAGTTGGGCTCCAAAGCAATAATGATGCTATACATATAATACTCATAGATGTATTGATTCTTCAGTTGAGCTGCAACTGCTGGTTGCAACTGTTGGCTACTTCAGGTGTGGGTGCGGAGCAATTTTTTATAGCAGCAGCTGCATTAGCAAATTAATATAGTGTCTTCCTAAGTAATTTTTTATTGCAATGGATTTTTAGTCTACTGGATGTAGTTTTAAAAGGGTTTCAATGTAGCATGGCACTTATTCTTGTTTTTAAATCTCTAGGTGTCATGGATGGTAGCAACGACATGCAACGAGTTCGGAGGTCCCTGGAAGAGGGGGAGGAGATGGTTAGCAAACAGAAGGCGGACCGGCACGATCTGGATTTAGATATACAGCTTGAACGTGTCCAAGCTGAAATCAGGAGGAGAGAACAACGATGTAAATATGACAACTACATATCACTTCAGCGTGCCGAGCTAGACAAAGCGGTAGAGACTAAGCATTCTGAATTGGCCAAAAGAGTGCGGACAGAACAGATTGCCCTGCTGAACAAAGCATTAACTGATGAGCATGCCACCTATGCCCAGAAGATAGAGCAGGAGCGTGCTCTCTCAAATGATGCCTTACAAAAGGTAATGTTTAAGTGTGTTCACTGTTCTGCATTATTCTTTTATCTTGGTTAATAAGTAGAGTAGCATTAATCACTATCCATTTTCTTTTTTTTTCATGTTAATACAACACTTGTACAAGCATAACATGATTTCGTACTTTGATGTAGCATACTTTTTAGTCTACTGGATGTAGTTTTAAAAGGGTTTGAATTTAGCATGCCACTTATTCTTGTTTCTTACAAAAGGCCCGTGAAGAAAATGATGCCAATATAAAGAACGAGAAACAACGCTTTGAGTCCATGATTGAGCAGGCAAGGGCACAATTGACAACGTTGGAGAATGAGCGCTTAAAGATGAAGACCCTCATTGAGTCCTTCATCCAACGAGAGGAGGTCCGTGCCAACATGAATATAGAGGTAACTATGGTACTCTTTTAATTTATATTATATATATAACCATCTGAACGCCCCCCTTGTTTGCACTTTCAGGTAGAAGATATGATATGTATACCATGGAGATACATGTGTGTAATAACTAATAACGAGTGTGGCCCGGTATATGATTTTTTCATATAATTTTGGTTACTCGTTGATTTGAAATGATTCTTATTCGTCTAATCTATACATGCAGCATGTGGTAATGCGCTTTAAGATTCACTCCGTGAAGGAAATTTATTCGGATCTACAGCAGTCGAGAACAATTGGCCGAGTTTGCAATTACAGAGCCAGCCACTGTTGAGTATTACATTCTGTCACAGCATTTGACAGCTTATTTTGGATACAAAGGAGACGCACAGTTGTACTACCTGAATCCTGTTCATGGGAGTGAGCCATCAACTGCATTGGTAAAGATTGATAGACAAGAAGATGTAGACAAAATGGTGGATGCACATGCTCATGAAAGGACAAAGATTTGTCATCTGTACATAGTGAACGGAGTTGGATTTTATGATGAGGACGGCCGTCCATGGCAGCCTGATGACGAAGGCCATCCATGGCAGCCTTATGAGGAGGACCGTCTATTGGGCAGCGCTGATGAGGAAGCTCAACAAGACGACACGTCTCCTGTGATGAAGAAACGACGCGCTGATGAGGAAGCTCAACAAGACGACATGTCTCATGCGATGAACAAACATGCTTCTTAGCTATTGGATAGTTGGAGTTTGGTCTTTTACTTGGTCACTTGTTCTTGGTCGATTGGACACTTGTTCTATTAGTGTTGCAAGCTGCTACTTTTCTGAAAACTGAATGCACTTGTTCTTGGTCTTATATTTGGACACTTGGTGTATTAGTGTTGCAAGCTGCTACTTTTCTGAAAACTGAATGCAAGTTACTGTGATTGTGCAAGATGATATTTTTTCCGAAAAGTAAATTGCAGTGGCTTGTCTTTTGTCTATTTTACTTCTAATTAGAATGTTCTGACTAGATGACTTGGTAACTGAATGTACTATGATCTGTGCTCTGGCCGATATAGGTGTCATTTGCTTTCAATGCGAGTGGGTCCTGAAAAAGAATCTCTAAAGTTCACCAAAAATATTGACCTGGTGAACTTGAAGTATTGAGCCTCCAAAGTAGAGAGGGACTAGTGTATTGATTGCCTGACTGCTGGCTGGGTCACATTCAATATTCTGGTGATCAAAGGAATAAAATCCTTGCAACAAATCAAGAGTTGGAGTGCAACTGCTACCTTTCAGGTGAAAAAAAATGTATCAGCCATTGTAGTTGCAGCGAGCAACTTGTCAGCAATGGCTGATACCAAAGTTTATTTTCTTTTATCAGCATCTAGTACTGTAACATTTTCTGAAAAAAAATGTTATGTGGTCAGGAATAGGACGGGGGAGAGAGCGGGACGGGACGACTCACAGCTGCAGCCTCGAGGTACTTGTCGTGCTCGGAGTCGGTCCAGCTCTCGCGTGACTTGGTGATGGTATACGGCTTGCGCACCCTCCGGGGACCCTCCTCCTCCTTGTTCCCAACCGACGGCACGGGCACAGGCACGGCCGTGGGCGCGGCGGCGGCGGCGCCCTCCCGCGCCCGCCGCCCCTCCTCCTCCTCCTTTCCACCCCCGGTGACGCCCGGGACCGACGGATCTAGCGGGTGCGGGGTCGTGCTCATCGACACCATCGGCCTGCCGCTGCGCTGCTCCCTCCTCTTCCTTCCTCGTAGACCCTAGGGTTGGCGGCGTGGTGGTGGTCCAATGCTGCTGGCGCCTGGCGTTTCGCTGGTGTGAGACGTGAGGCAGGAGAGGACAGAGGAGGAACAGTGGTGACCGAACGGGTGGTGTGGTGGGGAAGAGCTCTTCTCCTGTCCATAAGTTTCTACACACCCTTTGCTTCTCTCTCATTCCCCGCACAACCTTTGCTTCTCTCTCGTTCCCCGGCCCGGTCCGGTCTTGGGCTTCCATTCTATTTCGTATGGCCACGGACTGGATGCTCGGCCCATCATGAAATAAATGGCCAGAGCCTTCGTTGATAGGCAGGCGCCGGATGGTTTAGTCCCACCTCGCTCGCAGACCAACCAACAACGCCGCATAAAAGAACAGGCGAAGTGGCAGACATCGAACTACTCTCTCACTCTTGTCACTTGGGCCAATTGGGCTGCCGTGGCCGGGTTAGGCTCCCTCCGTGGTCGAGCCCAACCTAGCTGCTGGCTGGCACTTTGGCCCGTGTGGCAACAATTTTTTTGCCCCCATTTATTTTAAAATAAAAAAATGATTATATATCTGCACTTTCCTTTTCCATTGCTGAAACTTCTGTGTAATCTGCTACTTAGATATCATCTAACTCTCAGACCACTTACCGATATCAGAAAAAGGAGGAAATGATCCAGTAATTCACCAAAAGGTCATGCAGGATAACTGCCCTATTGGGAAGGAAATTGACACCCAATGGTGTTTTGGTAGTCAAAAAGGGTGCACAGGTTTGATAGATACAAAAGACCCAATAACTGATAACTTTTACTTAGTAGCAATCCACAGTTAAATTACAGAGCACCTTCACAAAACATGGTGCTGCGGCAGCAACTATAGCAAGACCCTCACAGGCCCTAGAATTGCTGGCATAACTTTACTGACTAAGTGCCTCTAGGTTCTTGTATGCTTTGAGCTCATTCAAAGCACTATCCAGCAAAACCTTCTTACTGCCATTGATCACTCTCATTGACTGTTTGAGCTCACTCTTGGCTACAATCAGCTCGTTTTGCAGTTTCTTGATCTTCAGCTCATCCCTGATCTTCTCGAGGCCCCTGATCTTCTCCTCAATGAAATGTAGGCTCTCATGGTCTGGTTGAACTCCTGATGGTACCAAAGCCCAGGGCATGTCATCTCGTAAAGGTGGAGCAGAGGGTGTAGGGTGCCCACCTTGTGAACTGCTTCCTAGAACCAATATCATTTTCTGCAAACAAGTACAGGTGTTAGTTTCTATAGCTTTCAGACATCAGAAACGCCGAATCGTTCTTTCACATATGCTTCTCCTTGCAGATTCCCAAGCACATGGCTCTTCAGATATTTTGATCAAACTATTGCTGAAAATTGAGCTGCTGCCCTGTCTAGCAGTGGCCTACCATACTCTTGGTTCTTCTTTCAAATGACTGCTGCCAAGAGCTTGTGCCTTCAAATGAAAGCAGTTACATATCAAGAGTGAGCATTTCAGTAGAACCCGGTGATAAGAGAACATCAGTATATTTGTCAAAAGAAAATGCATATTGCTAATTGAAACTGATGACATTGATAACGCTATTACAGAAATTACTAATGAGTGTACACTTTAAATAGTCCATCTGTATTTGGCTAACAAATAAGCAATTTAAGTAGCACCAACTATTCGTTGAGTATGATTTAGTTATGGCAGGACGAAACAGAATATCAAGCCAACGATAAAAACGATTTTGGAGTAACTGGATATCAAGGATTCCAAAAACTGCAAGCAGCAAAGGTTCTCACCAGACATTTCCTATAATTGGTTCTTTTCTCAAACAATCCTGCAATTGGTTCTGACAAGGAGATTGATTGTCAATCAGATATAAAATCATCATCAGTATCACATTCCTTAGTTTCACTGCCCTCCCACATACAGTGGAGTCCATCTTTAGGCTTCAACTAGTCCAATTTCGTAATGCTATCCTAACCCTAGAATGGAAAAAGAATGCAGGATAACCAACCTAATAAAAGGTCACAGTGGCATAATCCTTCCTTCGGGCATTTTTCTGTCAACTCGGCCAATTCTTTGGGGTGGCCAGATTATGTGTGTGACCCTCCCCCGCAACAGACCCATAGGAACCTGCAGGTATAAAGTGTTTTGGATGTTTTAGTAACAAGATCACAGATGCCTAGAAACTCGATCTGCTACACTGTGCAAACAAGTATTTCATAATGAGTGTTGCTGGAGCCTGGGCGCCATTTGCTTCTCTTTAAAGGACAGAAAGATATGAACACTCAGAACCGAAAAAAGCTCAACGAGGCACTGACCTACTCTTTTATACTTGCCCACCTATGCTATTAGAATTAGAATAAAAGGCTTGCAAGATATCATATCATAATAAACCATGAGGAAACTATCATCAGAGAAAATGAATAGGAGTGGAGATATTGAAGGCTTCAAGCTAGTTTTATCCACCAAACAAACAAGGAATGAAATTGATACTTTGATCTTTTTAATGGGGATACAAATATGAATAATGAAATAGCATTGTGTCAATGGCTCGGATTTGCAAACCATACAGTTAAATTCCTCCAGTGATCAAGATGCCAATTCAAGATGAAGATGCTTTCATCAAGATTAAAAAGATCCCTAGGAATAAACGACTAAAACTATCACTTTGGTAACCAAGTAAGCAACTGGCTTTTATCCTGTAACACAGCTACACAGTCAGGCCTTCCTTTTTGCAATTAACAAGCATTTTATCCTAGGCCAATAACGCAGTTGTGTCCAGTAACGAGATGAATAACTTACAGGGCCATAGGAATATAGGATCTCGAGTCAAAGCTGAGGGCGGCATTGTCCCCTTCAACCCAGCAATGGCCCTCCGGGATCTGCCGGATCTCCTGCTTCTCCGGGATCTGGATCCAATCCCCAGGCAGCGCAATCAGCCTCTTCACCATCAGTTCACGATGGTTCCTCGGCGACCTACGACGAGCAACAGCAGCGACATCAACAACCAACCAATCCAAGAAACTCCCACGGACCCGGAGGCGGGCGGGCGGCGGCGACTTAACTCACCTGAAAACGACGACGTCGCCGCGGGAGAAGTCGTAGCGGTAGAGGCAGCGCTTCTCCACCAGAGCGCGCTCGGCCTGCTGCGGGTCGAAGGTGGGGTGCATGGAGGCGCCGTCCATGCTGACGACGGAGGCGACCCAGTCGACGACGGTGATGCCGACCACGCTGCCGGTGATGCATCCCTTCACGAGCGGCCAAACGGCGGCCAAGGCTCTTGCCATGTGCGAAAACGATCAGGACCTCGACGGGTGGGCCTGGGCACCTACGACGCGGAGGCCGGCGAGCGAGGGAGTCCTATGTGCTTGGCCGGGGACGGCGGTGGGAATGGGCGGCGGAAGAACTGACGCGGCGTGGATGCCGAGGCCGCCGGCATCGGCGCGATGCCGCCGGGGAGCCCGAAAGGGCTCCCGGCCCAGGGGCTGCAGGCCGCCGACGACCGCGCCGCCGTCGCCCCGACCCTGCCCCCACGCAGCGTACCCGCGGGACACGGCCGCGCGCTCCGCCTCCCTCCTCTCCCTCCTCCCCCACCCCCTCCTGACGCCGCATCCTCCGACCCGACCCTGAACAACGGCTGATGACAACGACGGCGGCACACAGACGGAGACAGCGGCTAATGAACCCTAAGTGCCGGAGACAACGGCGAATGAAGACGAAAATATTCATCTTCATCTGACTAATGTAAATCTCAACTATACTACTCAAAACATTATTTTTATATTTATGGATTTACCATTTTACCCTTAATTAAAAAAAATAACCACGGAAAATGAATTGCCACTCTTTTATTTGAAGTCTCAATCCTCTAAACTTTGGAGGCATTGGAGGGCGTTCCGACCATATGGGCCCACCGATCATAGACACATTTAACGCCTCCCGACGCCTCCCTCATTGACGCCTCTCAACGCCTTCCCTCTTATGGGCCCACCAATCATAGACACATCTAACACTTCCTGACGCCTCCTCAACCATAGTAAAAAAGTTCATATATATATATATATAAAGTGGTAATATTATGGTCAGGCTCCGGTATAGACCACAACAGGTAACTAGAAGATGAAACATGTATTTGTATGATACATTGATACCACTTACAGGCACAGTTATTGCTGGGAGACCAAGAAGGTTCCCTGCTATGATGAATCGCATCAAGTAAGCTGCAAGAAAAGGCAATGTTAGAAAAGGCGTGTGTTGTGATATCTGTAGAACAAACAACCATACTTATACTGAGTATCAAATAGGTTATATCAAGCCAAAACAAGAACATATCATTTTCTTAGTATACCACCCAAAAATAATACAGATTGTGAACAAATCTTCCCAGTTCCCAGTCTAATAAACATGATTTGCTAGACACAATGAAATTAATGAAACCACCCAAGTTTTGTTCTCTTCAAACTTAATGGTTTATCGAGCAAGCAAAAAAAGGAACCATTTTGTCTTCTCTTGTACTAGCTTGCTTGATTAGTTGGCTGTAAAAAACAACAACACACACTACCTGCCAAACAACACATATCTTACATCTGGTTTTCAGCATCTTTTCGTCAAACATAATAGCATTGTGAAAACCATTAAAATTCATATAAACTCTTTTTTGACAAATTAAAGATCTAATTAAGATGCCTAAATTACAGTATCCTGATCACAGTTTACCTGGCACAACGTAATTTGACTCTCCTGACTTCAGAGCACTTGGAGGTATTTTTGGAGCTGGAAAACAGCACAGTTGCTTAGTTATTACAGCAATACAAAGCTTCTTGACGTAGAATAACCATGCATAATTTGAGGTGCACCGTGCACCATCGTTTTAGGGAACATAGATATATACTTGTAGATCATATATGTCACTTATTCCTGTCTATTTGAAAAGCGCATTGACAAAGATCAGTTCAGGGATATTGTCTAGAATTATGTGCTTCACTTAGGCTACAACTACATACTCCGTATCTAACTATTTCTATACCACACTGACAGTGGCGGAAATTAACTAAAGGAACAAAGGGCGTGTTCGCTGGTCTGGTCCATCCAGACCAGCCGGCTGATCTCCCTCAGTAAACATTATTCATCAACCAGCCGCTACAGTATTTCTCTCTCACAAAATCAGCCAAGTTTCAAACCAGCGAACGGGGCCAAAGAGGGAAGGCGGAGGGGCGCAGTCTATATAATTCAGCATTAACCACCTACGAATAGTACCAAAGTTACTGTTTAGATAAGATAGTGGAGAACACATGGGGCAGGAGGGACATGGGCCAGCTTGGTCTAACCAAGCTCCACCCCTGCACACTGATTTATTTCCAGATAAGATATAACTCCAAAGATCTCTTTTACATTATAATCCATTGCTGAGAGATCAAACTTCCTCAGGTTTGACTACTAATATGTATAAAAAAACATTATATAGATTTGTCATGTGAAAAAATAGCATTAGATTTTTTTAGGGTACTTCGAGAAACGTTTAAAATGTAAAACTTTTCATGTGATAAAGAAAACTTCTGCATTTATTACCCAGTTGTATGTAGGAGTTGCTATGACATCGACCTTCTTGAAAGCTTCCATGTGATAATGCATTATCCTCCTCCTATATAAGCCCCATCAAAAGGTACATTAAGCGCATGTTTAGCACAATATAGGAAAAAGAAACAAACAGCTGAACACATGTTGCAGGAGCCTCCAGTCGTTATTGCGATAGTAGGTCATTAACAGATACTTGAAAGTTCAGGTTCAATTGCACAAATCAAGATAAGCTTAAAACGTAAACTGAATTCATAACCTCTAAGCATGCTCATGTTCACCTTATACTTTGAGATGCCACATAATCAGTTGCAGTGAACGACCCAAAAAGTGCCAAACTTGTTCGAGTATCCAGCATAAACTCAGTTTTCCTTCTGGAAGAGACAAGGAGAATGAGAACAATAGTACAGCACAGAAAATATTTTGCTTAAGATAGCCCATTCTAACAAATAACTTAAATTTTCAGCATGTTGCAGACCAATAATTTCAAGAAGTGTTTCCCCTTGGAAGGAAATGTCATAACTACGCTGGGGATAACATTATGGAAATGGTATCCATCAAACAGATAGGTACCCTGTTTTGTAATGAGGATTCAGGTCACAGAATGACTCTGAGCCAATTGAGACAACATGGGCAGTACGCATCTCTTCAAGCTCTGGTAATGTTATCTCTTCTATCTTCAAAGAAGCAAATCAGGACTTGTTAGTTGAGATGTTAGAAGAGATGAATGTGCATATACAACAGATACCATGTGGTCAGCTCAATCAGTTATGAATTAGAGGAACTGCAAACACAATGAACATATACATTTCATAGTCCGAACTTTGTCATAGCCACTAGGTTGAAGTTGATGGCATTGATTTATCTAAACATAACTTACTTATATACATCAAAAGCCACATCATAACACAGATGCTTCTATTCTGAGAAGAGTTTGTCCATCTTAAGTCAAATGATCTTTTTTTTATATAAGGCGGCGAATGATCTATTGTAAGTTCTATATCTATAACTAAGAGAAACATTAATCCTGCATTGTTATCGTCTAAGTCATTGAGATAGAATGGGCTTACTTGACATCCGAAAGCGCTGCAGAGAAGTTTAAGTGCATCATCACATGTACTCGATATCTCATGATCAGAAACATCATTAAACCACTACAAAAGCAAATTTCTTTTGAGAATAGGTAGGGACATACCAAACTAACGTTTGAAGTGCACAAACATACCTCTGTATATTTTCCTATTTTAACTGATCCCAGGATATTGCTGTTTTCTGGAGACAATAAATTTGGGACACATAGTGGCGACTGCAAAGAGGAAAGAAACAGAAATGCAGATGCTGTGAGCTCAATCAAATGTGCTGTATTCAGCAAAAAAAAAAATTTGTTATTTAGTTATAAGTCATGCTGGATTTCTGGGGGACAATAGAGAAGGTTATCTAGCCAAAAAAGAAGTTACCAAGCTATGGAAAACAACAACAAAAATTCAATCTGATATCATTTCAAAGCCAACTGCCTAAGGCTGACTGGTATAATCTGACAGCATACACGGCACATGAAAGGCATACCAGCATTCTTGATATTTAAAAGGCAGGAAATATTAGAATGTATTCCCTCTGTTCCAAATTATAAGACGTTTTGGCTTTTCTAGATACATAGCTTTTGTATATGCATTTAGATATAACACTAGTCTGGATACATAATAAAAGTAATGTATCTAGAAAAGCCAAAACGTCTTATAATTTGAAACGGAGGGAGTAGTATCTTACTGGTCTAAGGGTAAGCTTTTCCATAGGTCTTGAGCCTGCTATTGCAGAATACCTGAAATTCCATATGATACAGTTAACAAATATCCAGTTTTATCAACAGGATCATCAAACATCACCCAGTATCACAAAAAGAAGCATTGGCAAAACTTCTAACTTTCTCAATGAGAAAGCTAAACTTAACGGGCTTATGCAAGGGATCTCATGGTATCATATAGCACACCAAGTAGCTTACACTAGTATAGCATCCTCAACTGATGATACAAGAGGAGAAGCAACTTCAACAGTCCCAGAGTCACAAAGTACCCTGCAGACAAGATATATAATCATACAACAATAAATTGCAAGACTTTGAAGGATTTTTAATGAGATTCAGTATAACAAAATTTCATATAGCAACTACATAGTCTAACTTGGTTGATTTTTGGACAATACTATGCAAAATAAAACAATAAGTTGTTTCAGACCACAGTGGATGCTAGCTTGTGACTAGAGCAGCTTATTTTAGTAATCTTGGAAGGTAGTTCAATGCATATATAACAAATATGACAGATAAAAGAATAACTCTTGTAAATAATCAATTCAATGGAACTTGTTTTTATTACCCAGTCATATCTGTCCTCCCATATGTTGTCTTGAAACCAACAATACCACAAAGTGCAGATGGAATTCTAACTGAACCTGTTGTAGATAAAAGGTACCAATCAGAGACAGATAAGAATCTGTGACAATTAATATCGGGCTTCTATATGTACAAACCTCCACTATCTGTTCCAATTGCTACTGAGCATAATCCTGATGATACTAATGCAGCAGGACCAGATGAAGATCCACCAGTATATCTATCAACCGAATGTGGATTTCTTGCTGTTCTGCAAGAGAAGTTAAGGAAAAGTGAAGATTAAGTGACAAACATAACAGAAGAACTGAAGAACAAAACGGCAGATGAAAATATCTGATCATTCTGATAAATGGCAATCGTGGATTGCCCTTTTTCTTTTGTGACTTTATAGAGTAAGGTTCTTTAATCGATGACACTGCTGAATATCATATTTATGTGCATTCCATAATTCTGATTTTAACTAAGCTCTACTCGTGGTCATGGAGTTTGCATCCAGGATGTAGTAAGGAAACACTTTTTGAGCAATTTTTAAGAAAAGCGAGATAATATAAGAAAAGATGTCATATTCTGTTGTATTCTGAATGTCTAGAAAAAAGGAAGAATATTTATTTTATCCATGTATAATATAACTTGACAAAGTGGACATATATCCTTTGGCTTCAACAAGAAAAACAACTACATTGTACATAAGGGTGAACATTTTTAACAGACTGAGCAGTTGTGCAACAATTGATCATACCCATAATTTGGATTGTTTCCGGTTACTCCAAGGCCTAGCTCATGCATGTTTGCTTTACCGATAAAGATGACTCGACATTTCTGCAACCGAGCCACGCAGACTGCATCTTTCTCCACAGTGTGGATTTGGTCAAAGAATGTTGTAGCACCTGCCATCCAATGAAAACATGATATGGATTGTACTTCTTGAACAGTGACACAGAAAAACATGGAAGCTGTCAATTAAACTAACCCTTTGTTGGATACGGGAAGCAGTCAATGTCATTGTCATGTGGGGCCGACAGTACAGCCATGCCGGCCTCGGACACGAGGTGCAGCCAGGGCAGCCCCAAGGGTGTGCATGGCCTGAAGAACCCAAGGAGGCTTAGGCGGCTGGAGGGGCTGCGCCTTTAAGGCAATTAAGTAGAAGTTGAGGAGATTAAGGAATTAATTAGCCAGCTAGCAGTTAATGGCTGGCGCAAGTAGCAGTGGAGCTGAGCTCCTATATATACCCCGTGTACTCGTTGAATGAAAGAGAAGAAAAGAAGTTATTCCCAAATCTCCCTCTCTCTCTGTTATTCTTAATCTCACCCCCTGCTGTGGTAGTCAGGCAAAAACCCTGGCACCTCCATTACCTGGTTCAAATTATGAACTGAGAAGCCAAGGGCCTCCAACTCTAGGCGCCCAGGTCCTTGACAACTTGGTATCGGCTAGTGGCGCTCTTCTTCCACCTCCGCCCGCACTCCAACCTCTGCAGCCACCACGCCATCGCCCTCGCTTCATCCACCGCCTCAAGAACCTCCACTTCCTTGCCAATGGCTGAACCGTCCACCGCCGACCTGGCCAAGATGATCCAGGCCTTCACCACCACCATGAACGCCTCCATCAGCGACCTTCAACAGCAGGCGCAGCCACCGGCATTCTCCGGCTTAGGATCGCGAGGCTCGTGCCACGGTGACCACCACAGGACCACCCACCTCGGTTCCGTGGCCGGACTTCCCAAGTTCGATGGGAAAAAGCCGATCCGCTGGCCTTCCTTAACCGATGTGAGTCGTATTTTCATCAACAGCGTAACATTGCGGAGAGAGCAAGTTTGGATGGCGTCATACAACCTTGAAGACGGTGCCCGGATATGGTTCCTCCAAGTGCAGCAGACGGCGGGTATGCTGCCTTGGCGCCGCTTCTCCGAGCTCCTCAACCTCCGCTTTGGGCCACCGATCCGCTCCAACCCCCTTGGTGAGCTGATGGTGTGCAAGCGGACGAGCTCGGTAGCGGAGTACCAGAACCGCTTCGAGGCGCTGCTTCCTCGCATCGGCACGCTCATGGAGGCGCAGCGCATACAAGCGTTCACGGCAGGATTGCAGCCGCCGCTCAGCCTCGACGTGGAAGTCCACAACCCGCAGTCCCTCGTCATCGCCATGAGCCTCATGCGCAAGCTAGAGGCAGATGAAGCGGTTGTCCCAATCAGAGATGGAGGAGCGGCGCCGCTTGGGTCTCTGTTTCAACTGCAACGAGAAATTTGGCAGGGGTCACAACCGCGTCTGCCAGCACATCTTCCTCCTCGATCTGGCCGAGGCAGATGACGACGATGATCCTGAGCAGACCGACGCTACGATTGACAACCCGCTCATCTCACTACTCGCCATGGCAGGCGTCCTTTATGGCAACAAAGACCCCATCTAAAATGGATATCGGATTTCCTGGGCACAAGTAGCAACACATAGATGCAATTTTAAAAATGGAATTTCTACTTGAAGCCATTTGAATTCAAAGAAAAGAAGATTTGTACAATCATAAAGTGATTTTAAAAATGGAATTCTACTTGAAGCCATTTGAATTCAAAGAAAAGATCTGTACAATCATAAAGTGTCAACTATTAACAAATAGCGACTTCCCCCTGCGATCCCCTGCCGCTCGCCCCGCAATCACGGCAATCTCCGTCGGTCTGCCTTCCCCTCTGCACTCCTCACGCGGTGGCCCAAATCACGCATGCGATCCGTGGATGGGGAGGGAAGAGAGGCGGCCGCACCGTGAAGGCGTTCACCTCCATCCACGGCAGCAGGAGCTCCTCATTGCGGTGGTAGTGCAGGAACGGCGGCAGGTCCACCGTGCAGTAGCCGCCGGCGTCACTGTGGTTGAGTGGGAAGGAGGACGGTGCTGCATCCACGTCCTCCTTGCCACGCGAGCCGCATCCACGTACTCCTCGCCACGCGTGCCCCATGCAGCAGTAAGAAAGACGCCGCCGCCTGGATCCGTCGAAACCCGGAAGTGACCGACGCAGCCCGGTTCTTCCCGCTCCCCGGCTGCTTCCCCTCCCAGGCGGCACCTGGATCTGCTCGCGACGGGCGTCATCCTCCATCATCGTGCTCGGCAGCAGCAGCAGCATCATCTCTGCTCACAGAGTTCGGAAGAGCCCTGTGCCGCATCTCTGCTCACGAGCGGACCCGCCATCCCCGTTCGTACGCTCGGCAACAGCAGCACCACCAGCGGTACGTGCTTCCCCTAGATATGCATTGGATTCCTTGCATTGGATTGGTTGGACAGTCTACAACTCTAGATCAGGCCGGCGGCAGCGGGTTCCTCCGCCAGCCTGAATTAGGGGCTGTTTGTTTTGTTCTCAAGCAGATAGTCCTGCACTTTTCTTTATGTCAGCTTGAAAGAAATACAGTATTTCTAAATTGGGGATCTAAGGAATGAAAATTAATCAGCATGGCATTTTCTTTTTGTTACTTCACATAGATCTATCAATAGTGATGGAGGCAGCACGTTCATATTAGGCTAGCTATGTTTACCATGCTTATAGACCTTAGGTAGTGTTTTTTTCCCACGTTTTCTCTTGAGCGTGAACTCCGATTCACCAACCTGCTAACCTGTGATTGTTTAGCTTGATCCACCTGTAGGATGTATATTTCAGGTACATCATGTTACTACTAAATTGACCTGACCATGCGTGCTTGGTTGTTTCATGAACATGCTTTTACCATCTCAACTATTATATGGAAGAATGAAATGATCAAAGAAAGGACTTGCCCTAGCTTTTGGATTTGTTTTCCTACATGTATTGATTCATGTTAAGTCGTGTGATGGAATCAAGGCTTCAGACTTAGTCATGTGGTCATGTCTATCCGGTTGGAATATCAATTATAAATTTGTTAGATGCAAATCAAGCTTTCTAGAATAATTCAGTACAAATAGGTACTATCAGTATGCCAACAATCAGTTTCCCTCTTGTGTAAATTGTATTATGTTTTAGTATATTCCATTTTAATCTTTTCAGATTCAGATTCAAACGATTAAAGCTTAGATGGGAGGAGGAGGTGTACAACGAGCCGATGCCATGGAGGCCTACCGCTACATCATCAACGAGCTCAAGGCGTCCATGCCCATCTAGAAGAAGGAGGTGTACGACGACAGCGAGGTTTGGAAGGACAACCGCGAGTTTTACAACTTCTACAGAATTACTAGAATCTTTGGTTGCATATCAGTATCATAATCAGGATAGCTTCTCCTTATAAAACATGATAATACATAAGCACGTGATATCCAGATAATATGGCTAACTGTTGGTTGCTAAATGTGATAGCTTTTACCTGTGACACTTTCTGTCAGTCAAGTGAAAATTAGGTGTAGTTATGGTTTTTGAACATCACTGAATGTTTAGCTGCAATTTGAAGAATTTTTAATCCTCTATTTGTTTGTCTTTGCAGGCCCGTAGTTTCACTTGCGTATCATTTGTAAGTTGATCCTATAAACTTCTAGATAAACATATAGATGCTAACTGTCTTCTATTTGATGGTTATTGTTTCTGTTTTACCTCATTGGACGTTTTCCACAGGTATGCCTCTGTTAGAGCAATTAAAAAAATCTGTTGTGGATGATCAGCAATGGCTCACGTACTGGGTGTTGTACTCATTTATCACTCTATTCGAGCTCACCTTTGCTCCAGTACTCAAATGGTAAAAACAACAAACTTTCTACACAAGTGCACATTTCATCATAGCTTTAGTTTTATGTGCACATTCCATCTTACCTTGATTTCTTTGCTATTGACCATCTCTGGTTTAGTACTGCACTTCATCGTTCACTGCTATAGTGCTCTCTCATGATTTGGCTGATAAGTTTTTTGGATACATCATGAGATGAATGGAAATGCTCATCACAGGCATAACTTTTGCACTTTGTAGGCTCCCTTTCTGGTCTTACGCAAAACTGTTTCTCAATTGCTGGTTAGTATTGCCATGGTTTAATGGAGGTGCACATGTATATGAGCATTTTGTGAGGCCAATGATTGTAAATCGGCAAGTTTGTGTGCTTCTGGTATATTCCAATGAAGGATGAATCAAGTAGGCATGATGATGTAATTTCAGTTGCACAGAGATACATTGAGCAAAATGGATCAAGAGCATTTGAGAATCTTGTTAACAAGGTATTATCTGTTTCCTGTTAAATGTACCATTCTCATTTGTGAAAAAGGTGGCCACTTGGCACCAGTTAGTTTGCTTGTGCTGTGAGAAGCACAACAAAGTGCCTCTACAGTCTACAGTGATGATGATGATGGCCTAATGATTAATGATATTGCAGTGTGGTTTTTTTCTATGCATACTAGGGAATTTTAATTACCAACTGTCATTGCTTTGCACATTTTCCACATTCTAGGCCCTTATTCCTTACTGAAAGGGTTATTACCAGAATGAGGTTTAATTTGGGGTAAAATAACTGGGCTTTATCTTCAGACATTTTGTAAGGACTCTATGCAACAAAGCTGAGGGCAAATGAGGATGATCTGGAGTTTGACAGCTTGTGGTGCTCTTATGACCTAGGTTCACTATTGCAGCTTTTAGGCATTATTCATTAAGTTTGCTTGTTGAGCTTAACACAAAATTGAACAAAAGTTGTGTCGGGTTCATAAACCCGGGGTCCCTAATGGACCTGCTCCTCAGCAAAGGCTCGGCCCAATAGACGACGTTGCGAACAACGCGCAACTCCTGGACTGGCCCAAAAACCTAACGATAGGCCAGAAGGGTGATCCAGTCTCCGACTGGAAGGCCTGGCCAAAGGGGAACGGCGCTCGCTTCCGACTCCGGTCGGCCTCTCCGACCGAAAGGCCTGGCCCAAGAGGAATGGCGCCCGCTTTCGACTCCGGCCCGCCTCTCCAACCAGAAGACTTGGCCAAGGAGGAACAACGCCGCTTCCGACTCCGACCCACGTCTCCGACCGGGGATGCACCGAGCCTCTGTTTATAGCTCTGCTCCGACTAGCGCAGTCAGAGCTGACTGGGACCAACCGACAGGGGACGCCCACTCAGTGAGGACCC